TCTGCCTGCTTGGAACCACTGCCCAATGCTCCGGTCAGATTTCGGTAAGCGAGTGAATCCGGACGGTTGCGGCAGGCCGTCCTGCGCAGGAGGGTGGGACCGTGACTCGGTCGACTCGGAGGACGACTCGTCAGAGATCCCGACTCGGCCGGTCGGGGAACCGGTCGGTGGGACGAAGCCGGCTTCGTCTCCCAGTGGGAAGACATCAACTTCTCGATCTACCAAAACGGGTCACGAGATGTGGGGACGGAGCATTCTTGGATGTGGGGGACAAGACATTGGTTGGTGGTTTGAGAGTGCCACGGGCCAGCCTGAAACGCATAAAACACTTCGTGGTTTTCCACTTGCATGATGATTCCAGGGAGTGTATAGTCTAACTGTTGAACTGTGGAGGAAGTGAATCCTTCGCCAATCAATAGATCATGAAGGGGCAAACGGCAGAGAAGGCCACACCAATGAAGTCTCAACCACCTTAGTCTGCATTCTTAATCCATTCTTAATGCATTCCCTATCCTTTAAAGGTACAAACTGAATCTTTGGCAACAACGGCAGTTGGCATGGATGAAAATGGCTGTGGCATGCTTGGCATCCTCATGATGATTCCTGGGAGTGTAGGGTCCGACGCCCTTGGTATCAGTTCTTCGCCGAGCTCTGCTCTGCCTCACAAGGGCTCTCCAGCAATGCGAACTGAAGAACTAGCTGCTCAGGAGGGAGACAAGGAGCTAAGCCCCAGCCTTTGCAAAACTGTTAATAAGATTCTGATCATTAGGCAGAAGGGGTGGCCAGTGGCGGCCCTTCTTGAGGCATTTGCAGTTGCTCCAAGAGCCGGGGAACTTCAATGCCTGCACCTTGGGGCTGTACCCTTTGAGGCCAGAATGGGTTGTTCACCAACCACGTGGTCGGGCGGAAGGACTTCAGAACTGCCCCCTTGGATGCCAGTATGTGGGTCATAGAACTAAAACCGATGGGAAAGGCCAAGGACATCCAAGGACCGTTTTTTCCGCCAGGAAACGCAAAAGCCTCGGACCCAGTGTGAGGGGCTTCAACGGGTGGGTGTCTTCTTCGATTTCCTGGGGCCTAAAGCCGAGTTGCCGGAGGGGCTGGTGGCAAGCTGTTTCTTGGTCGGTGAAGCACGAACAGGGCGACCCAGATCGCCAGGGGGAACATGGGGGATCCCACTTCATTCATCATTCTGAACCACCCAACTCGATGATCGCACAAGCAGATTGAGATTCCCAAGGCAACGCCCTAGGGCCCCTATGCTTAGGATTATGTAGGATATTCCAAGATATTCCAAGCAGATTAATGGGGAATACCTATTCCAAGCCTATAACATAGGTACCTACATGTAGAATATTCCTCCGTTTGGCAGTTCTCTTTGGTCTTAACCTCACCAACCACGTGATCACCACGTGTTCGAGGAGCTTCGTGTTCCTGGACAAGGCTGCTTTCTCTGCATTGAACGTCCCTCGGCATCGATGGCAGCGTTTTTCAGATCGATCCGATACGCGCAGACGATCGTCCTGGACGTTCGTAGTGATGGCCTCCACCGTGCGTAGCTTCTTGCTACGTTCGTTGCTACGTAGCCTATAGGGATGCCCTTGTTTCGTTCGTAGCTTCTTGTTTTTAGTATACTAATGCCAGGAGCTACGTTCGTAGCGGCCTCCACCCTAGAAGATTGAGCAACCCCTTGGCCCGTTGGACCGACCCCTTTTCACCCGATGCAGCACAGCAGCCGTCATGTGTTGCGAGCGAGTTCGTACCAGGAGCCGACGATGTACCACTCGAACTGAGCAAATAACAAACATGTTTTATGGACCAGTACCACCCCAAGGGTGGTGATTGAAAGGAAAATACATCTTCAAGGGGGGGTCTATAAACCACCCTTTGGGTAGTGCTGGGATGGTCAGTTTATCTAAACGAGTGTCCTTTGGCCCCTGTGCCTTGGGCTGGGCCACGCTGGGCTGCGGCGCCGCGAGGTCCTCCCGCGGCCCGAGGAAAGCCAAAGGCTGGGCCCTCAGGGTCCGGTGGACGGTTTTAGCGGGCGGCTTGGGCATCCGACGGAGATCTCAGGGATCTCTGAAGTAGGGTTGGGTGGTAGGACTTTCAACTGGGAAGGCTCCTGATTTTCTTCACAGGGTCCGTGGTGAAAAAGACGTCGGACCGATGGCTTGGAGCCGGGTTGATGGGCGGCAAGCAGTGGTTGGATGTGTGGACTGCTTGGGCTCCATGAACCTTTATTGTTGCCCGAACCAGAGCAGGGTTGGAATGAGGATGGACCAATCAATCCACACTGAGCCTTTTGTTGAGGTATTTCGGGGCTGAATGTAGTTCGAAAGCGGATTCAGACAGATAGAGATGGCTGCTAGAGTGATCTACTTAGAGACTTAGTGGAATCAATTCCATGCTGCCCACAATGCTGGCTTCTGCAAAGAAATGGTTTGCCCTGAACGACCATAACCTTCTGCTTACATTGAGCCGTTGGGTTTGTTGGTCAAGGGAGGGCAGCACATGGTCCCGTGGTCTCAGCTTGTTCTATATAGAGAAAGGTTCACTTGTCCTTGATGGAAACTACAGTGTATTCTTCAAAGTCTGCGACAAACCTGACAAACCGGTAACAACTCCAAAGCCGTTGGCTCAAATTGTTCTTCAGCACTTCACCATGGTTTCGGCTGGTGGCTTTCACACGGTCCTTCTCCAAAGTGACGGACACGCCATTGCTTTCGGAATGAAGAGCTTTGGAGAATGCGACATTCCACCTTTGGACGAGGGGAAGTCCTACACCCAAGTTTCTGCAGGCGAGTTTTATACAGTCCTTCTCAAAAATGACGGCCATGCTATTGCTTTCGGAAGCAATGCTTATGGACGATGCGATCTTCCACCTTTGGATCAAGGAATTTCCTACACCCAGGTTTCAGCCGGCCAGCTCCACGTGGTGCTTCTCAGAAGTGATGGCAGCGCGGTTGCTTGTGGAAGAAACGACCATGGACAGTGCAACATTCCGCTTTTGGATGAGGGAATGTACTACATCCAAGCTTCAGCGGGAAGGTTTCATACAGTGCTTCTTCGAAGCGACGGCCATGCTATTGCCTGTGGAATGAACAACTTTGGAGAATGCAACATCCCACCTTCGGGTGAGGGAATGTCATACGTCCAAGTTTCTGCAGGCGAGCTTCATACAGTGCTTCTCCGAAGTGATGGCTGTGCAGTTGCTTGCGGAACAAATTGTGATGGACAATGTAACATTCCACCGTTGGATGCAGGGATGTGCTACAGCCAGACTTCGGCAGGCGAGTTCTATACAGTGCTGCTGAGAAGTGACGGGAGTGCTGTAGCTTGCGGAAGAAATGATAATGGACAATGCAACATTCCACCTCTGGATGAGGGAATGGCCTACACACAGGTATCCGCAGGAGGCTGTCATACAGTGCTTCTGCGAAGTGATGGCACTGCTGTTGCGCTTGGAATGAACAACCTTGGTCAATGCAACGTTCCATCTTTGAAGTCCTGGCGTGAACTCTTCACTTTTGCCAGCGCCAGCCGTCGCTACATCTGCGATTTGACATCACTTGCCAAAGACTATGTTTTGCAGTGGGGTGTTGTCGTCGAAGGTGACGCAGCTGTGCTCACATGCTGGGATTTGGCCGGGCACGAGGTGTTACGCTTGAGGGCACGTGGGTCGGAGCTGGCATTGGATACTGAGAAGTACATCGCACACGACTTGAAATCTAGCCTCCAAAGGCTTCAATTGGTCTTGCCAAACGGAGAGCTGCTGTCCTCCATTTGCCGTGCACGTCCATGGGTCACACTGGCAGATTTGGACCCTTTTCTCAGCTGACCGTGGCTCGCCACGTCTACGACGACGACCGACTTCGTCACCTGACCGCGACGTCTCTTTGCCCTTCGCGTCGCTTTGCGACGCGTTCGACGGTTCGGTGCCGCGGTGGGCACCGTTCGCCAACCGTTCGGCGCACTTGTTCGGAGGAAGCGCCCGCTGCAGTCGACGGAGACGCCGAACGCTCCGACGGTCCAGTCTGTGACCGCTTCTTCGGCATCGGAGCGAAGCCCAACAGCGGACCAACCACGCTCCCACCGGACCAACAGCACCGCGCGGACCGCAGCGGACAGCGCAAAGAAGGCGAGCGTGGCATGCGGACGGCAGGTCGCATGTTGAAGAAAAAGGTCACGGTCGACTCCTTGGATGAAAACAACCCCCCCCACCATACCTACGAGGTGGTACATGGCCGGCGAGCCTTCACTTGCGGATTGGCCCACGAGAATATCCTTGAAATGGCCCCCTCATGGTTTTACACTCCACCTCTGGGCGTGGACGGCTACCGGTGCGATACGGAACGACCGAGGCGATACGTATCGCGGTCTCCGCTGCGGGTCAGCGGTGGTTTGAGGTCCCTCCAAATCCAAATCGTCTGAACAAATGGATGGACATGAGGGGCTTTCTATCCATCTCTGAAAGAGGATGAAACATGGTGAAATCTTTTTTAGCCCTGAATGCTCCAAATTCGAGGTCGCACATTTAGGTCGGAGAGGAGGTTGAAAGACAGAATTCCTGCAGAATCCAGTACCACTGCATGTTCACTCGCGTTTGATGAATCGATGAATCGATGTCTCGACCAAGGTCGAATACGAACCTTCTGGGCTTCCTCAACAGGCGATACGCTCTGCGCGAAGGAAACATGAAGCGCAGATGCTGAAGCTGAAGGGGAGAGGGATGCAATGTACCGACTGCCCAGTCGCGGTGGGTCAAAACCGGACCTCACTACAGGTCACCATCTCCGCAGTAGACTCTTGATCTTCATGTTGGGGGGGATCTTCCGGCGGAGGAGAGTGAGAGGGGGTTGATCCGGTTGACCAGCCGTGGCCACCAGGACATGGCCCCAAGGCCACCTGCATATGGCCCCATGGCCCAAAAGACCTAAAGGCTTATTGAATCGCGGGTTGCAAAACGGTTCTTCACACCCACTACTAAGGGGGCAGGAAAAACACACAACATCTCCATCCACAGGTAAACACCGGCCCGGCATCTATCAACCAGGAAGGCATCCGCGGCATGTAGCAGCAAAGATCTTGTATAGATCAAGAAACTTCATGCACCTATTTGGACCTGGCAAGGGCCCACCACTGCTGTGGCTGGCTGTGGGGTATTTCGGTGCAGCTCTTCCCTTGGCGCCAAGTGGCTTGGCAGGTTGTTTCGCCCTCAAGTTCGCAGTCCGATGGGGCATGGGGCAGCAACTCATGCCTGGAATTCTGAAAGACTGAAAGTTGACTTGAATGGGAGGGTGACTTTGAGGATCGCATGGGCGGTCCCAAAGAGGCTCCCCCGGCTGCAACAGGTGTCGCTCGCAGATCGGCCAGCGCCGCTTGCGGCAGTGGCTTACGTGCGGATCGCAGAACGTGGTTGCACTGAAATGTAGTCAATGTTGACTCTAGATGATATTATATACACTAGTAGCAAGGACGCTATTAGGTGGGAGGCCATCGCTACTAGTAACAAGAAACAAGAGTCTATACATTGGACATCAGACCTTAAAATTGTGCCACGCTAGTAGTAACAAGTGCCTCGCTAGTAGTAACAGGTGCCTTACTACTAGTAACAAGAAGCAATTAGAAACAAGTTATTTTCCATACACACCCCGGGAACTGGACGTAATCCTTCAGGGAGCTGCTTGCAATGTCACCGGGAGAACGGCGGGCACCTCACCGAGGCAACCGCTTACAGACCCAAAGAAGATCTCCAGAAGGCACGACGTGGTGCCTTTGATCAGCAGAGAGAGAGGAGTTGAGGGAGTTGAGGAGTGGACAGATCGGGATGGAAAAAAGGGGTCCCCTATCTATAAGCAAAGCTAATCATCCATAGAGCATCCCAAATCATCTAAAACCATAGTAGGTGAAGAAGCATCACTCACCCACTTCAACAGAAGACTAATGGATACTAGAATAGTGAGGTGATGATGGTTTTTTACTTGCAGAATTGGATCTGTGACCTCCCCCCTCACTGAGGTGGAGGCGCTGGTGGGTGCAGATGCTGTGCTCAGGGACCTGGAGGCACCCGCAGCGTCGATCTGGTCAGGTGGGTGGTGAAGGACTTGGAACAGAGAAAGCTACCCAGACGGTCGGCCGATTACGTGTCAGATGGCCGATTACGGAAGTTGTAGGAACAGGGTCTGTAGGAGTAGGATCCTTAAAGCATCTTAAGTCTCTTTAAAGTACTCGTTTTCCGGACTTTATTCTTGACAGGCTCGCCGCCATCATTTGCTCATCCACCACTCCATCCACCCCAGCCATTCCCCAGCCGCAAGCCGCAAGTTACGCCAGGCGCAGCTCCGGCGCGTGCCTGACTTAGAGCGCCTGGCCGCGCGGCTCCACCGCATCGCCGCCAAGCGCGGGACTCGGAGCCGTGGCAGTCGCCCGGTCGCCCTCCGCCGGGGCTTTGCCTCTCTTGTTCGACCCTCCAGCCATACAAACATGGCCCCCCTGGAAGACAGTCTTCCTCTACAAACGTGGTCTCGGTATTCCACTTCCATGATTGTTTTCATCGTGGTCTCGGTCTCGGCCGCCACCCTCGCCAATACGTCGGGGGGGGTCCAGACTCTGGGTCTCCACTACGTCGGAGGTCGCAGCTTCGGATTGGTGGCAGGTCGAAAGCTCAAGGAGCCACCCTGGAGGACTTAGTGAACTTGTGACCTGGGGAGATGGATGGGGATGGGTGGAGGATGTGGAGATGTGGATGGCCAGAGATTTCCCTAGATTTCTTTAGCAGCAACATGTTGGGATATGGCGAATCTCCTCCTTTAGGTGTTGTGGGTCATTTATTGCATGCTTGGGACATTGGGCACGGGCAAAGGAAGCCAGAAAATCATCGGTTCCATAGAAATACTAGAACATAGCATGTTCGAACATAGCAGAACCTCTTTCGTTCTGTTTTCTCAGTCGTTGAAGAGGTAGTCCCTCTTGAGGCCCTGATAATATCAGGGAGAAGGAAGAGAGAGAGAGAGAGAGACACAAACAAGAGACCTGGGCCACATTCAATCGTCCACTATTACCCCATCCCAGGGTCAGACGTTGACCATGAGACGGAAGCTAGCAATCAGACTCACCACGCACCTTGAGGGTGGGAAGAAAGATGCAAATCAGACGCAGCGATGCGTAAACTCTTCAACCCGGTGACCTAAAAACAACTGGAAGCAACCAGAAGACATTCTCCCTGGATTTGGCGAGGCCAAGACCTCACCACCAAGGCCCATCCAGTGTACTGCCCCGGAGGTGTATGGCCCACCAGGTGAGGACCGCCCACCGTCACAGAGCAACCGAGTGACAGGTACCATTGCGTTTTGGCGACGGAGAAGATGAAGCAGGCGGTCCAGCTCCCTTTTTTTGCCACGACTGTTGTTGTTGTTGTTGTTGTTGTTGTTGTTGTTGGTGTTGTTGTTG